TTGGGGACGAGCTGCGCCGGGCTGAACATCACCTCCAGGGAGGCTGGGGTCACCCCGTTTGGGGAAGCTGTGGACAAAGTTTTTGTGTCCACAGGAGCATTAAAAACATTTGTTGGCTGAAAATTTCCTCCCAGACGGGTGGGAGGTCCGTGCCCGGGAGGTGGCACAGCAGCAGCTCGGGCTGGAAATTTCCCTGATGGCTGCTTTCTCCCAGTGCCTGTATGTGAAACTTTAACTGGCTGGAGCATGGTTTGAAAAACTACTTTGCTCTGGAGATGCTCCAGCAGCCGGAGACGAGCCCTCCCCGCTCTCGCACCCAGCGGCTTATCCAGCTGCTTGAACGGGGCGGATGAAATCCCCACTGTCTCGCAGCCTCCTCCGCGTTGGAACTTTTCCAGTTCCTGCTTAGACACCCCAAGTGGCACGGCTGCCCGCACAGCCATCTTTATATCGGAATTCCTTCCTGCCAGTCTAAAGGCAGAGGTTTCCTTCCAGCAGAGCCACCACGGTGCTGCCTGGCGCAGAGCCTGCCTCTGCCCGCAGATGCTCCGGCAGTGCCGGTACCGATGTGGGAGCCAGGGCCAGACCCGCTGGGGCACACAGCATTGCTTTATCGGCTGGAAATGTTTTGCTCGTGCTGCGTCGTGGCAGGCGGCGAACGCGGCTTTCGCAGCTTCACTTTGCCAACGCGCTGTCCTTCTCCCGCAGGCCCACTCCCGAGGAAGCTCTCAAGTGGGGGGACTCCCTGGAGAAGCTGCTGCTGCACAAATGTGAGTGTTTGCCCGTCTCTTCCGCCTCTGTTTGCTGCCGGGGGAATATCCAGACACGTGCATGGATACAGCTGGGATTTCCTATGTTAATCCCTTCCGGAGTTTGGGGGTAGACAAAGAGAAATGAGGCTGCCCCTTGCCTGTACCCCTTCTGCTCCCACCTGGCCCAGGGCAGGATTTTGTGATAGGGGCTGGGGAGAGCTGCGGCTTGGGGCTGCAGCCCCCCTCCAGCTTGGGGAGAAAAAGGCAGCCCGATTCGGAGCTGTGCAGTGGGTCCGTGAAGCAGGAGCTGCTTTAGACCATTCCCCTTCTTGTGTATCACAGCCGGGGCACCCCGCATCGTGGTCACGTCCTACACCCAGCCCCCACAGGAACGGCCAGGGGGGTCCTCTCCCCGTTGCTGCCCCCACTCCGATCCCAGCCTCCCTCTCTCGGCTCTCCATGCATGCAGCCGGGCTGAGGACTGCAGATTCAGCACATGGATGGCTTGCGTTGCCATGCTTCGGCTGGCAATGCCATCGCTGCCTGCTTTGCACAAGGGCTCACAAGGGGTTTTTAGGGGACAGTGTGGGGAGGTAGTTTAGGTTGCACCTTTGCAAGGTTGCTGGGCTGTTTCCCGC